CTAATATATACTAATGTTAATCAAAAGGAATTTGGACATTTCGACTTGAAGATTTCCTTCCTGTTCTTTCCTTCCCAGGGTTTTATTTTAAGAAGGAACTCAGGAACTTAAAACAAGAGCCAGCAAAAAAAAAGTTATCTGTATAGAAGAAGCTAATATTGATACCCAGGAAGGGAAGACTCAGTGCAAGGGGCAAGAATCAAGCATTTATCTCAAACTAGGAGCGTTTCATGTATTGCTGGGTCTTCTGTCGGAAATTGCTGCTGTATTCTCACATTTTCCTTTAAATTTTATTTTATTTTTCCCCTCCCCTTCCAGCCATTATTGAAATAAAAATGCAAACAGAACACCAGAGGATTCCTGCATTACAGGCAAACCGAGCTTCACTTCAAAAGTAGTTAGCTGTTGTATAATAAGGAGTGCAAACATTTTTTTTTTTAAAAGGCTTCTTATAAAAAAACACAACACAACACATTGACAATCTCACCACAACCCCCTCTACCCATATGAAATGGCCTGCTATGACTACAAACCACCCCAAAAGGCAGATATCTCAACAAACCAGCTCCACCCTTATTTTATTTCCCCCAAACAATAATTAAAATGCAAACATGCATGAACAGTATCACACACAGACACATACTTGGGACTCACAAAGAAAGGGTGTCTTTCTTACGCTGAAAAAGCCGACGTGGTTGCAGAGTATCATAAAGCTTGAGCGACTCTGATATCACTGCTACAGTGAACAACCAAAATTAATTTATAATGAAAAAAAAAAGAAAAAAGGAAAGGAGGGGAGGAATTGAAAGACTAGATATAGACAGACACAAAAGGAAGAAAGGAAACACTAACATAAAATGAAGTCTTGTATTGTCACTTATCTTTTTTTCTCTATCCCTTGCATTCTATCTCTTGCCTTAAGCAGTCTCTTGTTCTGATAAAATTATCTTGCTTTTCCTTTCTCTTTTCCAGAACAATAAAACATGTTATTCAGCATATGCCTGTGATCTTTCCTTCCTTCCTTCCTTCCTTCCTTCCTTTCCTTCCTTCCTTCCTTCCTTCCTTCCTTCCTTCCTTCTTTCCTTCCTTCCTTCCTTCCTTCCTTCCTTCCTTCCTTCCTTCCCTCCCCTTCCTAATAAAAACCAATAATACTTTATTTTATAAATAAAAGGTACAACTAAAGTGCAAAATTAATTATCAAAATATTTCATGAAAAATACATGGCATGGAGAGATTGAAAAACCTATCTGCGCATAATGTTGGGCTTTTAAAAATGTGAAAGAAAGGACAAAGCCATCAAACTTCAAATATTTTGTGGGGGAACTCCTTTGAACTCGTCCTGGTTGCTTGTTTTCTAAAGCATAAAATTTAAACAATGCATCATATTATGGGTGAAGTACTTCTTCCACCAACTGAGAAAAGGTTTACAACTAGGGAGGAGAAATATATAGACACACACAAACACAGAGATTAGAGAATTCCTCATGCATTTGTTCATTGATGGGTTGCACATGCATTCTGCTTTCCCCTTAGGAAACGGAGGATGAAAGTGAATTTTAGATTAATTATGTGGTTGTCAGCTACTGAGCAAATCCTATGTAGGTTTGTTCAGAGGTCAGATCCAATGTTACAACTGAGAGTCTTGGGGCCAAAACTTGTATTCCAAAATTGCTTGCATTTGTCCTGCAGTGTTTGATGCAGTGTTTCTTTTTTGGCCACCCAGCACCTGTGCTTGTTTCAGTGACGTTTAGTGATGAGAGATGAAGTTGGTGTGACACAATCATTTGTGGCTGCCTGGGGATTTCCAGAAGTTGAAGTCTACAAGTCTTACATTTACCAAGGTTGAGAAACACCTATTTTAATGGCTGAATTGATACACCATATTAAAATACTGTTTATTAAATCATTCATAATGGGCAAGTCCTTGAAGTTTGTTAAGATTTACAAACCACAACAGCTAGATTTGGGGAAAAAAAAGTATTGTATGAATTTCTGGATATTTGCTAATACTTCGTCAATAAGACAAGGTGAGATGGCAAAGGGTTGTTAAGTTCAATATCAGCTATTACCCTTGTGAATTATGATTACCTTTATTGTCAGAGTACAATATGTGTACAATGAGATTGGCTGAACCTACCTTCGTGCACCTCACAACTCACAGTGCGAACAGAAGTCCCCAAACCAGTCCCAATCTTATTACACTATGTGACCTTGTTGCACAAAGCTTGTTGTAACATTGGAACTGACCTCTGAACAAACCTACATAGGATTGCTCTGTAGCTGACAACCACATAATTAATCCAAAATTCACTTTCATCCTCCGTTTCCTAAGGGGAAATTGAACATAGGAATCTACAGTAGATTAAAAAATGAATAGATACAGATTAACAGAGTTGGAAAGGACCTTGCAGGTCATCTAGTCCAACCCGCCCCCTGCTGAAGCAGGAGACCCTGCATCATTTCTGACAAGTAGCAGTCCAGCCTCTTCTTGAAAGCTTCCAGGGATGACGCTCCCACAACTTCTGGAGGCATAGAGAATAGAGGTAGTCCTTGACTCACAATGTTTTTTTTTAGTGGCCGTTCAAAGTTACCGAAAAAAGTGACTTAGACTGTTTTTCTACAATTACAACAGTGATGAGATTCAATTTTTTTTTTACTAATGGTTCTGTGGGCATGACTAGGTGGGCGTGGCAGGGGAAGGATACTGCAAAATCCCCATTCCCTCCCCACTCCACTAACCTGCTTTCCAGCTCCGTTCTCCTGTGCAGGGCAACCAAAGAAGATCCAGCCAATCTGCTGGGACTCGATGGGAGGCAGAGAAGAGATGGGGTTGGCGGGGCCAGTCAGAGGTAGGATTTGCCGGTTCTCCGAACTACTCAAAATTTCTGCTACCGGTTCTCCAGAACTGGTCAGAACCTGCTGAATACCACCTCTGACTTGGCAACACCTCTGAATTACAACTGTTCCAGCAATCCCCGCAGTCATGTGATTTACATTCAGATAGTTGACAACGGATTCACATTTACAATGACGTCAGTGTCTCAGAATCACATGAACCCATTTTGCGAGCTCCTCACAAGCAAAGTCAAGGAGGAATCCAGATTCACTTCACACAACCGCGTTACTAACTTAACAGCTGCAGTGATTCACTTAACTGTGGCAAGGACAGTCATAAAACAGAACAAAACTCCCTCGTCAACGAAAATCTGGGGCTCGTTGGTCATAAGTCGAGGACTACCTGTATTTTGAAATAATAAAAAGTGAAGAGTGAACATTCCAAAAACGTGCATGGGAACCCAGACTTTAGGTTGCTTTTGACAAAACAAATGCTCGTCAGTTAGTTACACACACACAAAAGTAGATTATGCATGTGGTAAATGTTTTTTTGTCATGATTGTGAACTTGGAGTCATCATGGAGATGCTGAAACGGTCATAAGTGTGGAAAAACCATCATGAGTCCCTTTTTTTCAATGCTGCACTGACTTCAAGCAGTCACTAAATGAACTGCTGTAAGTCAGGGACCACCTGTAGTGCAAAGACATACCTTGAAGTCTTTCTAATTTAAAATCTACATATATAAAAGAGAAATGCCACTCACACATCATCACAAAATCTCCAGAACCGTAAAGCCTACAAACTTGAAGTTTGGCACGTATGTTCCTCTTGGTTTCTAGGTGCTCACTAAGAAAGTTTTTTTTTTTCAAAATGACCATCAAAGTATTAGTATTTCGTATATTATTATTATTAACATGCTCTGATGCTAAGGAGTTCTACTCCCCCTCTCCACCTGAAAAGAAATCTCTTCCAAATGCAAAACACCACCAGAGGAGAGGAGTTTCAGTTTTAGTTTCACAGCACCAAGCAGCTTTAGTACAGAACAGTTGAGCTAAGCCACGCCCAGGCTCCTCGCTGTCTCCTTCTTGCTCACACAGCAAATACTCTTTCAATTTCCAAACAGCCCTCAACTCCCTCACACACTGACAGAACACTAGCCAGATGAACACCAATGGATGCTGGTAGGCAGAGACACAATTTTTCCCCTTATTTTCCTCCCCCAAAACTAAGCCCCACCATATAGTTTCGTAGCAAAGCACGGGTATCGAGCTAAGACATAAATAAATGAGGTTAATTTGTCGGTCCCTCATTGGCTAGAGGGAACCAAAGCATCGCCCATCAACCTCACTCAGTGAGAATCCTTGGGTGGGTGTGTGAGGAGGGGGAAGGCAAAGTGATCTGAACTGAGAAGCCCACGAGAAACTAACTTTCCCAAGCTTCAGCTAATTAATTAATTGATCAAAGCAAGCTTGCCAGAAAGAGGTAGCTTGATTTTTAAAGCAGAAATCCATCGATGGAAGAAAACATCGAGCGATCTCCTTTGGACCTGCCCTTGCACAAATGAAGATGTTACAACCAGGCCACTTCCCGTGTCACTAAACTTCACTCATTTCTAACCAAAACGGGACATTTTTTTTTTTTCAATTCTAAATTGATTCAGATGTTTTGCAGGATTTTTTTTCCAACCTGGGGAACGACATAGGCCCCTGACTGGAATAGATCCTTGAACAAAAGAGGCAAAAAACAATTGTCCCGTACAGGTAGCTCCGTAATCCTACTACTATGGTCAGAAGATTGCAAGAGCTGACCTTAGATTAGATTAACAGAATTGATATGGACCTTGTAGGTCACTTAGACCAACCCCCATTGGCTTTTTGAGCTGCCGCCACACACTGCTGGCTCATATTTAGCTGGATGTCCACCAAGACTCCAAGATGCCTCTCTCAGTTACTGCTGTTAAGCCTGGTTTCACCCAATCTATACGTGTACTTTCGGTTTTTCTTGCCTAAATGTAAGACTTTATTTATTTGATTTGATTTGTCAATCGCTTACAAGATAATAGGTGTAAGTATAAACATAAGTAAGAATACAGGAAATAGGTATGAATAAATGGGGACAATAGGACAGGGACGGGAGGCACAATGGTGCATCTATGCACACCCCTTAAAAGCTGGTTAGATGCCATGAGGTAAGTGGCAGCGCCGTAACCATATGCGTGTTGCAAAGAACACAAAGGGCCTCTTCCATCCTTATCAAGGGGAGTGCTAGCCTTCTCTCCTTTCATACAACAACTTGACTTTTCTCTACGTTGATTTCATTTTGTTAGATACGGCCCATAGATGGGCCGTATCTAATCCAATCAAGATCCAATCAAGATTTGGAACTTGAGTCTGTCTTCTTGGGTGTTGGCTATTCCTGCCACCTTCGTATCATCTGCAAATTTAGTAAATTCCCCTTCTGTTCCCTCATCTAAGTCCTTTATGAAGATATTGAAGAGTCCTGGGTCTAAAATGGAACCTTGTGGCACCCCACTGCTTACTTCCCTCCATGTAGACTTAGACTCATTAAGGACTACTCATTGAGTATGGTTTGTCAGCCAGGTGTGAATCCCTTTGGTGGTGATGCCATCTATCCCACTTTCTTCTAGCTTACCAAGAAGTAGGTTGTGGTCTACTTTGTCGAATGCCTTGCTCTCAGCTTAGGACCAGATGAACACATTAACAGAGTTGGGAGGGACCTTGTAGGTCATCTATCTCAACCCCGCTGCCCAAGCAAAACCCTGACCAAACTTGAGCCCAACATTTATGCTGCTGAATGAGACAGTTCTCTTAAGGGAATTTGGCCACATTATTTCTTGACTTTTCTTGCCATAGTTGTTAAGGGAATCACCGCAGGGTTGTTCAGTGAATCTGGCTTGTGGGGGGTTAGGACGTTACTTTAACCCTTGTTTGTATTTGTTTCTTATGTTTCTTTTTAGGAAGTGAAGGGGGGACTCCTGTCAGCTTTGGAATTGTTATTAAAAGCTTCCACACAGCGGCGGAGAAATGGAGGGGGCTGATATTATTTGAGTAGCTCTCAGTAGACAAAATAAATTATTTAGTAATTCAAGGACATTGTGAATGGTGCACGAAGAATTGGGACAGAAGGGGGATTGATTCACATGATGTATGATGTGGGAAAAAGGGGATGGTTTGTAGGTTGGGTCCTTGTGGGAAGTCCAGGGGGAAACGTTAGTTTTAGAATTCCACAGAGGTGCCAAGTTTCTATGCTAATAAAAATACTTTGAGATTATAGTTGTCTTGGAGTTACTGGTTGGAATGGATAGCCTTTGGAATGCTGACACCTGCTTGTTGGATGGTCACAAACAAGGATCACACGATCCAGGGATACTGCAATCATCATAAATATGAGTCAGTTGCCAAGTCAGAGGTGGTATTCAGCAGGTTCTGACCAGTTCTGGAGAACCGGTAGTGGAAATTTTGAGTAGTTTGGAGAACTGGCAAATCCCACCTCTGACTGGCCCCACCAACCCCATCTCTTCTCTGCCTCCCATTGAGTCCCGGCTGATCGGCTGGGTCTTCTTTGGTTGCCCTGCACAGGAGAACGGAGCTGGAACGCAGGTTAGTGGGGTGGAGAGGGAATGGGGAGTTTACAGTACCCTTCCCCTGCCACACCCACCAAGCCATGCCCACCAAGCCACGCCCACAGAGCACCACACCCACCAAGCCATGCCCAGAGCTGATTGGCTGGGTCTCCTTTGCTTGCCCTGCACAGGAGAACGGAGCTGGAAAGCAGGTTAGAGGGGTGTGGAGAGAATGGGGATATTGCAGTATCCTTCCCCTGCCACGCCCACCAAGCCACGCCTAGCCATGCCCACCAAGCCACACCCACAGAACCAGTAGTAAAAAAAAAATGAATCCCCACCAAGCATCTGAATTTTGGTAACGTGATCATGGGAATATTGCAATGGTCATAAATATATGAAAAACAGTCATACGATACTTTTTTTTCAGTGCCATTGTAACTTCAAGCAGTCACTAAATTAATTGTAAGTCGAAGATCTCCTGTATTCCAATTTTTCCAAATTCCCCAGAAGAAAAGGATGCCCCAACAAGCCTCTATGAAGCATTGAATGTCTTCTCCCTCACTAGCAAGAAGAAACATCAAAGATTTTTTTTTCCTTTACAGAATGAAGATTGAAAAAGAGAAATGAGAGGGGGGGGGAAAACATGTCTATGTTGATGTTTAATTAACGTAGCATTCTGAAAAGAAAAATCCCAACAATGAAGACTTCCGCTCCCTTTTATTTCAATTATTGTTTTTTTATTTATTACATAAACAGTGGAGTCAGCCTAAAGCCGAATATTGCTGCTGATGTACCGATGGAAAAGAAACGGCTGAATACCTCATCAATGGCATTAAGCATCAAGTTAATGCATTTTCCAATGGGCCAAAATATACAGATTTTAGAAACCGGCAACAACAAAAAACCCCTCACACAATCTCACAACTGAGGAAAATTTTGCTCGTGCGTTATAGAATTCTACTAAACCACAGATAAGAAATTACAGGCTGAGAGTTGATATCTTCTCCAATGCTAAATCCACTTTTGCATATATAAATATCCCTGCTAGGCATTCAGAAGTATTATTATCCCTTTTTCCTTATATTCTTAGTTTTAATTTCATGTAAAGGATTTCAGTCTGTTTCAGATCTGCTAGGTGGTCTTAGAGATATGAATTTTGCCTAATGCCAGGGAAGAAAAAGGGAAGGGGAGGGAATGGAAAGGACAAGGAAAAAGTAAGAGAAGGGAAGGAGAAAGGAAGGGGAAAAGAAAGGAAAGGGGAAGAAAGGGGAAGAGAAAGAAAGGAAAGGAAAGGAAAGGAAAGGAAAGGAAAGGGAAAGATAGGA